CAATGTCATCCCTGACCCAATCGACCTTAAGTGCGGGGTGCCCCAGGGCTCAGTACTTGGTCCACGACTATTACCGATTTGCGTAAACGATCACGCGACAGTGGTCACCAACTCCTCACTCTTCGCTGATGATCTCAAGATATGGCGAGCCATTAGAACAATCAGCGACTATGCAGCACTTACAGATGATCTTGACAGGGTCTATGAATTGTCAACTCAGAACCTGCTTCAGTTCAACGCTACAAAAATGCAAGTGGTTGAGCATACGCCATAAAGCCACTTGCAAATACAGACTGGGGAATCACATACTGCAGCGCACTTCAACGGAATGCGATCTAGGCATCATAGTGCAGGAAGATCTGGGTTGTTCTCGTCAGGCCGAGAAAGCCACAAACATCTCTAACCAATACCTTGGCTTTTTGCAATGGGTATTTCGGCAGCTTTGATCCTTCTATCTTTCCTCAGATGATCAACGCCTACATTCAGCCTCATTCTGAATACGCCATCCAAGCCTGGCAGCGGTGACAAAAGCAAGACCTTACCACTCTTGAACTGCTACAACGAAGGGCGACCAATAACCTAAAGGTAATGTTTCATCTCCCTTACCGATTGAGGCTGAAATCCCTTGGGGTCTACAGTGGACAATATCAACGCCTGCGTGGCGACTTGATAATGAATTATATGATCCTGAGGAATCCAAACCATTCTTGTCGTCACCTACCAAAGCTGAATCGCAATACCACACGCAGAGGACACCATCTAAAGCTGGTCACGCAATACAGTCGGTTGAAATGCCGCTGGAATTTCTTTTCCATTGGTATGTGTCAACACTGGAGCGCTCTTCCCACATACGTTGGTTCTTCCCCCAAGCTAACGGTATTCAAAAGACGTCTGGATGATTCGCTTATCCACTTACATTACACTATATAATGAGAGATGTCTACGTCAACCAAACGTGACTAAACGGTGCTCATTCTCAGCTTTTATGCTTTACTACTTACACACTGCTGCTGTGGAATATCGTTCGGATATACTACAACTGTATTCATCAATTACATCAGTCCAATAAAGCGGAGCACATGTGAGCGTTATCGTTTATTGTTCTTAAGACATATCTTCCCTATCTTACTTCCCCATGTTACTCAACAGTAGCAATTCAATATGCATTCTAAAATATTTTAATGTGGCAAGCATCTGAATCGCTAGACACTTAAATTGACGATGTACACTTATGTTTGTTTTCACTTCAACCCTCCTACGGGACTTGTAACGCAGTCGCTCTTGTACCTGCAATATATTATTGTTCATTGTTCATTTCCGGTACGCGATTTAATGCCATCATGTCCTACTGAGCCCTAACAACCGTGCGTATTCTTCCACTGACATTTTTGGTATTCGAATCCATGGGCGTTCATGGGAAAATGAGGCAGTCTGTTAACCACTTTTTCCATGCTAAGTGTGGGGGTCGTCTGACTGGAATTTACTTGTCAAGGATCACCTTCAGAATTATCTTTACATCTCGCCTACTAATATGCAGAGTCCAAATGTTTTCAGTGCGCTCATAACTCAAGTAATTATCAGTCGATAGCACACATTTTTTGCGAATCCAAGCATAGTTGGATGTTGGTCCCGCGTTTCGTGACTGGATGCTTTCAAGTCGCACTCATGAGTGAGAGTTAGTCAGTCTCCGCTAATCGCAGCGACATTCCGTCTAATTAGTTTAATAACACACACCTAGGCGGTGGTCCGACATTTGGTGTTGACGTGGCAGTTCGGTGTATCGGTTAAATTACGTTGAGTTCAACATAGAAAAATCCACGATAACTCATTCCTTGCAGATTGTAGTAAAGCCTAGCGGACTCCAATACTAGCCCAAAAGTTAGGCTTAGTTCGCTTTTCCATTGCGGAGGCTGCGAGAAGTTCGCATTCCATGTACCACTGGTTATCTTGAGAGCAATAGGAGTCAAACTTGTTCGCTCAGTGGGCGGACTGAATTTCCTGCTCATGTACGAGGGCACAGCATTAATTTTCCGTAAGCGTAGTACACAGATTCTGTGCGGATGGCGTGGCAAAAAAGAGTGAACTGTAATACATCCTGAAAATTGTACCGTGAATTCAACTCACCTAACCATAGCACAGCACAGTTAACAAGTCATAAGGGTTACTATACTCCGACTGTAAGCATAGAAATCTGTCAATGTCACCGGAGGGTTGTTACGTAGGCGATGCTGGAGCAGGTTGCTGGGGTGACTGTGGTACAGACGAAGAATGCCACTGGAACTTATTCGGATGAATATGTACTAAGGTACATGGGAACCTCGGGCTGATAAAGGTTTGCACACTCTAGGTCCCCATCAGCACAGTGGGAACCACAAGACAACTCGGGTAAATTGTTGCCGCACCACGCTTGCCAGGTTTGGTGGTGGACGTTCCAATGCTGTTTGTGAGTTCCTCAGTAGTGATGTGACCTGCATGTACAGTTACGACTCAAAGACCACGCAACAATTTGTTTTTTTTTAGGTAGTAGGGGGAGTTATTAGGCTTTTTTGTAGGTTGTCGTAGTTAGACACAGGCATACAGCTACCATACATCTAGGAAAGTGCTAGGCGGCCGTTTCGTCCTATTGGGACTCGTCAGTAGTGTGCACCCGCCGAATCCTGCCGGATTCGAACCCACGACCTTACTCTTGCGGAGTCACTGACTTAAGTCACTGAGCCATGGGAGACGGCAGCGGACCACCATGACTGATATCTAACTGCGATGTAGCACGGCTCATCTTACACTGTCTTGCATGTTATGCATGTGCAGAGGACAGGGCTGGTCCCCAGCGCAACGGCTTCCTTTGCAAGCAGCCACCAATCGAGGCGGCATGTAAGCTGCTAAGGCGACTATTGATTATTTGTAAGTGGTAGGTGGATTCACAAACACCCTTCAAATAATCCACCATCGCCCTTTGGACTTCGGATGGACAGTTACTTCGGTCCACTGGGAAGTGACGAGTGAGTGAGCCGATCTGCAACACCAGGACAGTTACTGTGAGCTCATTGGCAATACGTCGCGCACTAAGCAGAAGTCACGTGTTAAATTCCGCACCTAATCGTCAGCCCTCGGTAGCTCAGTGGTAGAGCAACGGACCGGAAATTCGTGGACCGGGGTTCGATTCCCCGTCGAGGCAGATTTTCCTGTGGAGTTTAATCGTGACTTCTGCCTTCTACGATACTTACGTTCCTCACAAACACCCTTCACATAATCTACCATCGCCCTTTGGACTTCGGATGGACAGTTACTTCGGTCCACTGGGAAGTGACGAGTGAGTGAGCCGATCTGCAACACCAGGACAGTTACTGTGAGCTCATTGGCAATACGTCGCGCACTAAGCAGAAGTCACGTGTTAAATTCCGCACCTAATCGCCAGCCCTCGGTAGCTCAGTGGTAGAGCAACGGACCGGAAATTCCTAAGGTTTTTGTAGTCGCCTTAGCAGCTTACATGCCACCTCGATTGGTGGCGGCTTGCAAAGGAAGCCGTTGCGCTGGGGGCCAGCCCTGTCCTCTGCACATGCATAACATGCAATACAGTGTAAGATGAGCCGTGCTACATCGCAGTTATATATCAGTCATGGCGGTCCGCTGCCGTCTCCCATGGCTCAGTGACTTAAGTCACTGACTCGCACGAGTAAGGTCATGGGTTCGAATCCGGCAGGATTCGGCGGGTACGCACTACTGACGAGTCCCAATAGGACGAAACGGCCGTCTAGCAATTTCCTGGATGTGTGGTGGCTGCCAGCGACGAACAACAATAGGTTCTTTGGATGGCCGTTGGTGATGCACTGCCTAAGAAATTTCGGAGTGAGCGCGGTTTGGCTACGCAGATACTGGCTGTGTTCGTGACCAAGACAGGTCATGTGGCCAGTGTACCGTTGATACTGCAACACACAGGAGACAGGTGTGCCACCCACTATTAGTCCCATTTTCTGGAAGCGGTAGCCAGATAACGTCCAAGGACTAAAACACATGAGACCTTGCTGCACAATGGCTAGAGGCCACATCCTATGGTGCAGATCTGGCTACGTGTGAACTTTCTGTTTTCTCACATGTCAAGCGAATGATGCTGGAATCCGAAAGCAGTCTCCAGAAGGTGTGGGATGGGCCTTTATTGAGCTTCCCGAAGGGTTACCCGCTTCCACATGGTCTAGCTGCTTCTCCAAACGGTTTGAGCGTAAGGAAGTGTGTGTGAATGCAGATTAATAATACTACGAGAGAAGGTAATTTTTATTTTGTTGTTCAGAATAACACCGTTTGCGCATCTGGAAACTTATTGCTCTAACCTTGGGGTCTACGAATCGGATGACACGGAATTCTGGTATTACCTTTGTGGTGGCAGCTCCGGCTAAATCCATCTGATTGGTTGAGCGACCCCAAGGGAACTCAACACCGTTATCCTTTAAACTGCAGTCATTTGAATATAACGTATTCAGATATGGGTAAATATCGTCATCTTAATCAAATAGAGCTGAACACCTATGACCACTACTCACGGATTGGTGTCAGTAATCTTAACTACCAGTGGCAAATCGGCAACAAGTCCCGTCTACAAAGCTAAGGACTACTATGGGAGTTTTTCTGTTATTGCAAGTTGGTCACAATTTCAACTAGAACAAAGCATAGATGTTACTCGGATTTGTGAGCGAATGTTGTTGGATAAGAGGAGTATCAGCGCACTCGATTTCACCCAAATACCAGATTGCTGCATCTCAAGCACCATACTCAGTCGGCAAGTTAAATTGTTTGAAGCCATAAACAACACCCATACTATTAGTTTGAACTCACAATCATTACTGATCGCATGATACTATTTTAATTGGCCTCCCTATAACACGGGACGAAACTAAATGCTTAACAACGCAGACGCTGTGTGGGCGCGCATAATGTCTAAATCGATAACTGCACCATTGTGGTGTCGAATAAGGACGTTGGTTGGTGACCATAGTGACGCTGAGACGCAAAAACGCCAACCGGCTGGCCACATTGTGACAGTTGCCGAACTAATTTTTCTGCTTTTTTGCACCAGAGGCAGAGGTGGTGGTTTCTCCCGGAATTTAATTTCTTAAAAACCCGGTGTGCAGGTTTGGACGAAAGTGGGTTGGTGAGTTTTAACACTGATCTAACTTCACTCTTGTCACCGATGTGGAATCTAACTACGTCACTAAATCAAACATTTCTTGTTTCCATTTACTCTAACGCGCCTTTGGAAGGCTTAGATGCTTGAATATACATGCGGTCTGAAACAGTACTAAACTTGAGGTTTAACACAGCTTTCCAGCTGCATGCATACAATTGTATCCGCGCACATATGCCTGGTTAGCATCAATGTCACATTATTGTTAATAACACTAGGTTTTTAGTGGGTAGCGGTTTATTACCGATGCAAGCTATGTAATGCTGTCGGGATATTAAAAGCAGAAACCCCGAGGAATCTTGCTGTCAACGTACCTAGAGCGAGAAGTGATTAGGCATTTGTGGCAAATATAGTAATACCTAACTTCCTAGCGTAGAAGTAGCATGCTTTTCCTCAACGTCGATCATACCCCAACGGTTTACGGATTATAAGGCGCAGTTAAAGCGAAAGGTTAACTTGTGGAACTGGAATCGATCTTGCTTATCTGGACTATTAGAAGCTTCCAGCTGCCTGTATCTTTGCACCCTTCGTCACACGTTCCAAAGTTTAGCATGTACCTTGACGCCGGGTCGATCGACAACTTGTTTCTTCCGATGCGAGTTCGGGGTCCACTGTCCGATTCGATTGAATTGCAATGTACTTTTCCATGAAGTTCAGTGCTCTGAATACTCTTTATATTCCGTAAAGTCCTGTTCCGAGCCAACCGTTATCTTAACGATTGCGAGGTTAACTGAGAAGCCGCTCGGACTCATCCTCACATGCTTGGACGGAGCTTACTGAACACCGATTCCTCATCAGAATGGTCTTTATGGAAAACGCATGAACAATGAACAATGAATTTATACGGGTTAAGAAGCGTTGCTTTACAAGCCCCGTTGGATAGTTGGTGGGGATATCAACATAATAATTATGATGAAAAGGATAGTAAAATAGTTAACACTTTAAATACGAAAATAAGGACTTATCGTTTGCTTCGCTGCAGTCCTGCGATCCACTTAGATTCACAACACCCACAGTTAACAACAAATAATTCCAGGGTAAACTCCAGGTGTAGGATGGAGACGTAGTGTTAAGTAACAAAGTGTAAGTGGATGAGTGCATCGTCCAACCGTCTTTTAAATATTGTTAGTGTCGGTGCAGAGACGACCGATTCTGGGAGAGCATTCCACGGGTGACAGACACGGATGGAAAAGAAATTTCTGCGGCACTCCAGACGACTGTATTGTTCTGCGAGTTTTAATGAGTGGCCCCTCAGGTTTGTATTGCTGCTGAGTTGCAGTAAAGGGCGGCACACAAGATGTGGGTCTCGCAGAATCAAGTATGTCATAATCAGGTCGCCTCGTAGCCTGCGATAGCTTCCACTGAACAATCCTAGTCGTCGCAGCCTCTCCTGGTAGGACAGATTGCGCATTCCAGTTACGTTCTTAGATGCGCGGCGTTGAGGCTGCTCCAGTGCATTAAGGTAGTGTTTCAGCCATGGATGCCAGGCATTACTTGCGCATTTGACATGGGGGCAAACATACGCACTGAGCATGTGTCGAAATATGGAGCTGTTTATTTGTCCAAACGCCCGCCTCAACAGCCCAACGTGTTGATTCCAGGTCTTCGAGGCCTTTTCCGATTGCCTGGAGCAACCAAAGTCATCTTGAACCAGGACACCCAAGTCACGTTCGAGAGTTGATTTTGCAGTACATCCGTTCCGAGTCGGTATGAGTAGCTGCCCTGATGTCGGATGGAAAGCACCTTGCATTTACTGACGTTGAAATGCAATAAGTTTTGGATCGACCATAGATACACTGTATCTAAGTCACTTTGGAGCACATGTTGGTCGGCGTTCGCCTGGATCCTGCGCCAGATCTTGATATCGTCGGCAAACATTAGGAAGTTTGAAGCGATTCCCTGTGCAAGGTCATTAATAAACACCAGAAACAAACGTGGACCTAGAACCGAGCCTTGCGGCACACCACACTCGACTTGTATGGGGTCCGATAAAGAGCTCCGAACTCTGACCACTAATTGCCTTTGAAATAGAAAGTTGGCGATCCAGCTTAAAAGAGGGTCTCCGATCCCGTAATGCTGCAGCTTGGATAGTAGTATCCGATGGTCTAGACGATCGAAAGCCTTGGAAAAATCCAGGTATATCACATCAACACCTTCTCCAGCGTCGGCTGCCTCGGTCCAACTACTGCGTGCAATGAGTAAATTAGTTGTACATGACCGCTGTCGACGGAAACCGTGCTGTTCAGGAGTGATGAGGTTGCAGTTTTCCAGATAGCACACCAGTGCATCGGCAACTATGGATTCCATGACCTTGGAGAGTATAGGAAGAAGGGTTACTGGGCGGTAGTTGGAGGGATCAGATCTGCTTCCACCTTTGTGAATCGGGCTTATTATTCCAAGCTTCCACATGGCGGGAACTTGGTTCTGGTCTAAGCAGTGCTGGAAAAACTGAGCTAAATGTCCTGCCAGTTGGTTTGCTGCTACTCCCAATGCCTCAGGACGAATGGCGTCGACACCCGGCGAGCTGTGTTTGCGTAGAGAGGTCAGCTTTTGCAATACAGCCTCTGCGGTAAAATTGATGTGGGTTAGTCCTGGTGAGCAGAAGACAAAGCTTGGTAGATCGCTTGGTGGCAAGACCCTTTGAAACGTGGGGGCGTATTGCATCTGCAGCGCGTTTGCAGCTTCCATAGACGTTCTTGTTGGGCCGTCAGCCGTCTTGAGTGGAGGAAATCCTTGCCTCACCTTTCGTAGGCTATTAACGTGCTTGTACAGCAGTTTGTGGTTAGCACTGAAGGTTTTTGCGATGTTCTGCTGATAGGCGGCTTTGTCTTCTCTTAACAGTTGAGTGCAGTGGTTACGTTGGGCTACGTAGTTGTCCCACGTTTCTGGTGCTGGAGCTTCTCTGTACACTCGCCATGCTGCATTGCGTACTGTCATCCATTTTCGGGTTCTGCTCCTAACGAAAGAAACGGATTTGCACTTATTGTAAGCTTTTATCTCTGAAGCCTGTGCAATCAGCTGACTGAATGTGTTGACGAACTCGAGCCAGGCGAGTTCTGGGGGTTCTTCTTCGAGGAAAGACCATGTTGTGGCGCTGACTAGCTGGGCGAGTCGGTCGTACCTTGTGATGGTTCGCACAGTCTCATCTTTATCATTCCGATATTCTGCATAGCAGACGAAGTTGAAACTGATGACTGCGTGATCACTGCGACCCAACGGGCAGTCTAAAACCAACGCATCAATCATATGCTCTTCGTTGGTAAGCACAAGATCCAACACAGATGGCCGGTTACCAGTTCTGAACCGAGTGGGCAAAGTGATGTGGTTGTAAAGAGGAGCAGTAGTTACTAGATCTTGTAAATCGATTTTGAATTGTTCGCCGGTTGTGGCAGGGGCTTCTAAACAATGTACGTTGAAATCACCCATGATAAGAATGTGAGTGTACTTTGGTAGTAAACTGCACATTAAAGCAGCCGTTAGGTGGGAGTCGGTTTCGGGTGTTGAGTTAGGGTCGCGGTACACCAAGATAATAAGGCAAGCGTACCTGCCTTTTAACTGCAACCCGCACCAAAGAGAGTCGGGGAACTGCGAATCTGAATCCTCCACGGCTTCGCACTGTAAGTCGTTTCGGTAGTACAGGATTACCCCTCCTCCTTTTGTGAGCCTATCGTTCCGGATCAACGACATGCCGGGTAGCGACACTTCAGCGTCCGTCATTCCCGTGTGCAACCATGTCTCGGTGATACCAATGACATCATACGAGCCGGAAGCTTGGCGATCTTTCAGTTCAGCCAGTTTGTTAGAAAGTCCCTGAGCATTTGTATACAAGCAGGCCAGTTTCTCGGTCTCTAGGAGCCCGCAGAGAGGTGAAGCTGTCAAGTGTGGGAGAATGCCGACCGATGGGAGGTCGGCAGTTATTCGTTTTTTTGATGGGTCAATGATACCTCGTTTGCAACTTGATTCGGCCAAGGTGCGTCCCAGCCTTCGTTTAAACCTACTTCAGAGTCAATTAAAGCAGCAGTCAAGTTACACTTCTGTACATCCGTCGGTATGCTTGCTGCTTCAGTTGCTTTAATACTTGAGCTGTGCGAATTGTTTGCGACCTTTAACCGAATTTCGGAAGGAAGATGTTTCCGATTTCTTCGCCATCGATCCAAAACATCCTTTGCTTGTTGCTCTGACTGAACCACAAGTTTTAGGATTCTAGGTCCGCATCCTCTATAATTCGATGAGAGAGGTATCCTAGTGAGCGATAGTGCCACAACATCATCCAAAGAAAGTGTTTCACGAATGAACCGCCACTGTTCTAAATCGTGCTTTCCGGTATCTTGAACATGGTTAGAAGGATGTTCTGGCACTCCATGTATGAAGACTGTGTTTAGGCGGTCTTGCTTGCTGTGCCCCTCTTCGATGTTTCTTTTTGATTGTCGCGCGCTCCAAGGGACATCAGGATAGATACGTATCGCACAGGATTCGTGTTTTAGCGCGCTTGCGGAGAGCAAAACATTTTCCACGTCGGTTGAGGATTCTAGAGTTACTCGAATAAGTCTGGGTTCACCATAGTGTGGCGAGTTCGGATGACGAGTAATTCGTAACAAGTTTACGGGCTTGGCTTTGATACTCATCTGCATACACAATGAGTTCCATTGGTCTTGGTCGTCTGATAACTTATCCCGCAATGTGATGGCGGTAGATTCAGGAACATTTGAGCATACAACAGTCCGGGCACTGTTGTTGGATCCCTTTTTAATCGATCTACAAGGTATGGTACTCATTTGTCTTGACTTGTTGATAAGTGATTGTTTGCTGTTTTTCTCTCCATTTGCGTTAACGATGTTTACAATGGAAGAGGACGCAACGGCGGCCTCTCGGTGGAGATT